ACATGGAGAAACAGCGACGACCATCGGCGAACCTGCAATTAGAAGCGGCCTTTACCATTACTCGGTCCGAGTCAAACGGCAACGTGAGATTTCGCACGATAGAACTGTACGCTTAGTGACGTATATATGACTAATAATAATTTATATATATATAATCACAAGTACATCTTACACCTAGCTCTAAGTCAAATATAGATAGATATATATATATATATATATATATATATATATATATATACCAACGTATAAATTTTCCTATACGGCAACCATCCACCGTGCTTAATATCTAGTCCTCTATCTTGATACGGGCAAGTCACGTTATTCCACGTAAATACTCGATATGACAACTTATCTCGTAATTAAGAGGCGAAACGTCAGTGCCTCGGAACGGGCAGCCAGCCCGACCAGAAACGTTTTCCCTGACGCGGGATAACCCAACCGGTTATTAAACTGTCCGGCTAAAAGCTCAGTTATTAGGTACTGCTTGAACGAGAGGCCGCTTCCGAACTCGTCGATTACTTATCGGCCTCGAGGGTGAAAATTAGAATGGCAACCTTCCGTATAATTCGTCCCCACGTAATCTGACTGTCCATCGAGCCTCTGGAATATTGGGTTTTGACCGGCAGTTCCGTGGACACCCCCTAATTAAAAGCTAGTTAATTACTGTTTAATCACCAACTGTCCACCGTGTTTACCGACCAAAAGATATCGTCCCTGACACCCCTTAAATTTTCCTACGTCCCTCGAAATCGTCTCTCGATTTCGCGATAGGAATACAAATTTTTCGAAATTATTTTTAATAATAATAATAACTTTTATTATAACAGACAATATTTAATACCTATATATTTACACGTATTTTATTTTTGAAAAATTTATTATTTTTTTTATTCCCCCCCACCCCTTCATACATTTATCTTCTCCACCTAGCGATTCCTCAAGCTCGGCCTAGAAACCCGAGGAGTCGGCAAATCGCCGACAAAACGCCTCGATAAACCAAAACCGCATTTGCGGTTTGTACAGCCAACAGCGTCGTTTAGAACTTCGATGCCACACGGCATTTTACCGCTCGCCACGAAACAAGCTACGTCCGCCTATCATTTCCATATTATTACAGCTCTTCACCTGTTTCGTAGTTATCCTCAGGCGCCAGAAAGCAAATCCCGACAGAGGTTCCCCTGTACTGTGGAAGAAGCTCGTGCCTACGTATATTTGCCCTGTACGAATGAACTAAGGAACCTAGAAATATATATATATATATATATATACCCCATTGTTAAATATCCATAGCGCGACCTTCTCTGTTTTACGATATACCATGACCTTTTATCATTTTCTTTATCGACAGCCTTTTTTTTTCTCTTCCATATGTCCATTTTACCACTGCCGCTATAGGAAGATTATCCTTTCTATTCCCCGCGGAGTGTATTAATGCGGAATTATTGGCGTGTGTTTCCATTAGGCTTATCTCACGGCCCCATCGGACGCATTTGTTGGACACGCCGTCAAACGTCATGCGACACGCGTTATATAGACGCTTTGCAATATTATGATTATAATACAAATGTTTAATGAGAATATAGAGGTGGCTGCCCCTGTAGATTTGTAGAATGAAAAGTTTGTAGTGAGGTGGTGTATAATTTAAAGAAAAAATTTCGCAAATGAATTTATATGGTATGACCATTCCAGGAGGTTGGATATATATATATATGATAGGTCGTACGCGATATGCTGTTACTTCGTGCGTCACCCGTTATACGACGCCACTCGAAAACGTATTATTCCCACATCTCGTTCTTCGGCTTATTTAAATAATAATGTTCGTAGCTGCGACTTAAAAGCTACCTGTCCCATCCTCTGCCCTACATGGCAGGGACAAGATTAGATAAAGCTAAAGTCGCTGCGACGACGCCGAGCTCTGCTTATATCACATCTAAAAGCTACTTTATTCCATATTCAAATTAGTTAAGGGCTATTTTGAATACAACCGCGCACTTAAATATCGAGCGCGGAATTATAATACAAAAGGAGTTTCGCGAAGAAATCGGATCGAATTGGCGAATGGATTTTCGCGAAAAAGGAAAAAGTTGAACCAAGTATAAATAAAAAGTTATCGATGTTGAAATTATAGAAATTATAATTATTTTTACGTTATACAGGGTGGTACCGTACAGTCGTCACTAAAGGGGATGAAACTGGGTCGATTATCCCACGAAGTTTTATGACCACGAGAGAAATCACATCAGCCGCTAAGCTCGACGCAAGAAAACAACCGAATTCCGCGTTCGTAAAGACTCGGCCCGTCGTCGTTCACCGTGGAAATTATACGCGGGCCGAGAAAAACCGAGGAATTCGGTAGTTTAACACACGAACCATGGATTTCGGTCATTCCGGCTGTCTCGGCTGTTTCTTCGATCCAGACAAGCATCTAACCCCGTTTGATCGTTTTAGACAAATCTCTACGGTCTTTCTTGTCCGTGTATACTTTTTTCCCATCACTTTTCTCTTTCCGAGAGAGAAACGGTGAATTTTATCGACCGTTTACAAAGATCCAGTTCCAATTTGGACATCGGGTACGAGATTTCTTTGTAAGAAGCCGTTCCTGATCGAGGAGATTGACTTGGGGCTGGAGGTAGGGGTTACATAAATTGCTCTATCAGTACCTGCGAAGTAATCGCATGCTCCAAGTAAACCCAAGAGCAAACGTCTCTATCCCACGTATCCCGAATACAACAAAGACGGGAAACCTAAGGTCGCGAGTCCAATTAAAAAATTTCCTAACCAGAGTGAAACTCGGCAAATTATCCAAGAGAGCCTCTGACTTAATCTTAGGTTATGTTGCCACGTACGAAGAATGCAGGAGTCATCGCATGCTTCCTTTAAACGCAAGCCAGCCTTCGTATCGGATGAAGTTGCTTCGAATGCGCCTGCGTTTCCGCTCCTCGTGCTTTCGGAGACCCCGGATGTTACGTATGCTAATTCATAATTGCTTTATTCAATATACGAATCTTCTGTCCGGCTACTTACAGCGTCCTTGGGTCACCTGCTGATATCGGCTCGCCTGACCGCTGTACCTATATACATAAGGCAAGTAGTCCTCAACTCCCTCTCTTTATATATATACACACACACCTAATGTACAATTTAAAAAATATAATAAATAGCAATATATATATATATATATATATATATATATATATGTATATCGGACACGTTACAACGTACCCCCACGAGCCAAGGGAATTAACATGTAAGAACGAAGGCTGCAGGTGTTGGCAGGAGCTCAGCCAGGCAAAAGAAGCCTGGTCGCGCTAAAGAGCCAATCGGCGCCTCGGTCCGCGGACACACAATGACTGGATTGCTTGAATTATGGATGCCCGGCCTCTTTGTCGGCTCTAGCCAGGCCGAGCGTGTGTATGCGTGGGATTGCCGCGATCACACGCGACTGATAATTCACGCTCCTGGAGTCCTTAAGGCCAGACTAGAAGCCAAAACGAAGGTGGAAGGGAGGCCGTGAAGAACGAATGCCTCTTCGCGCGTCAGTTAACTGTGCCTCGGGATGTAACAGCGTTCGGGGCACCGTAGTAGACGAAGAGGACGTACACGTGGGTGGGAGCCGAAGATTCTAACGCATGATTAGTGCCTATCGGCCTTCGAAGACGGGAGGACGTCCGCTTCGATGCGATTCTCAGAAATCTCACATTCTTCTCGTCCTCCTACTTTCCTTCTCCCCTTTGCTCGTCCCTGCCACCGTCTTCTCGCTCTGTCTTCGGTCACTCTCCGAGTGGCTACTTTGGAGCTAACGGCACTTCCGGTTTCAGGGATGACCACCCTGGCTTGGTGTGAATGGGCGTCTCGTTGGCGCCGATTCACATCGACGCTTTCTTGGGATCGATCCTTATATCAATTGTATACCTTCTGCAGCCTCTCGCCTCTGGATCATATGCAAGTGGATTTTCTTGATCTTTGTGATGCTGCGGTACTGCCTTTATTCGATACCGATTGACCGTCTGACGCAAGATCGACTTTTGGTACCGGTTTCCGTGGGGTGTCTTGAAATTTATTTGTTGATCTTGAATTTGATATTGGATCGACAGAGTCGTTCTTGATCTTTTTATAGATCCGTATCCGAACGATCGTACGATAAAGATGCGTAAATCAATATGGTTATTATTGATCTATTAGAACGTCCGAAGATGCGATGACACGTGAACGAAGCTCCTACGGGTATATCTGTGGATCAATGATTTATCGTTAGATATCGTAGAGCCGTATGCGAGGTAAAAGAATGCATTGTGGAAATCAATAGAAATCGTGGATACGCGGTGGCAGGAAAGCTGAGAAATAGGGATGCGAGTTCGAAAGGTGCAAATGGCAATGAACGGAATATTGCGAAAATTTCGCAAGAGTTGTTAATTACTACGCCGGCCATGTGGAAATCGTGTACACGTATACCGAGGAAGCCGTTTATTTATACGGACAGTCGGAGGGATTGTTAATTTTCAATTTCTAATTCATCTGTTTACGCTCGGTTTTTATTGTGCTCATACTCGTATCTTATGGTAATTTATGGTAATCCCACTCGTAATTAGGAGCGTAATCAATTCTTGCCTAGCGTGTCTTACCGAGTCTGTCTAAATGTTTCCATTGCTAGCTACGGACCTCGTCATTGTCTGCAAACCGTTCATCAATTATACCGACAAAGCGCCGGTTAATCGTGCCGATTAAAAGAACTTTCATTCGAGCACATGGAAAGTCGAGGCTCGTCAGATTACACGTGAGCAGCATGGAAATCGATCCGAATCCTAATAAGCCAATTTTAATTACAACGGTTTACAGCCGTGGGTATAAATTGTCATTTTGAAAAATTTAAATTCTCCCGCCTCTTCCGTCCGCCCTCTAGACCACGCGTCAGCCATTCTTTCTCAGTTCTTTCGTCGCCCTACAGAAAACGGCTGTTAGCCAGACGCTATCGGCAACGGCTCACTCGATCGCCCAGGGTAGCCAACACATGGAAACGTAGACAAATCGTTAGAGGCCGGTTTACACCGTAGCATACAGAAATAGCACGGCACACCACCAAGTCAAGCGGTCCGCACAAAGCTAACGATTATTTTCGCACTCGTGTTGGCAGTACGGCCTGAGAGGGTTGGCACCGGCCAGTGAGTTAGGACCCCGTTTCAGGGGCTTTTTATTCCCTCGAAAAGGATTTAAACCCGACGCCTTCATTCCGCGAATACCGCGCAGGAGTCCCGTAGCATCGGCACGCCATTGGCCAGTCGCGCACCACGAGTCACGCTGTGAGAAATGCTCGGGAGACTCGGTGTCTTACGGGAGAACGCGGACTTACTTCGTATACCTTGTTGAGTTAGCACCTTTTGTTTATACGGCTGGAGATGGTGTATTTGTCGTCGTGGTATGCCTGGCGTTCCTTCTCTCAAGGGCGGCGTGTGATTTCTGATTGGCAAATAGCCGGAATTTCGCCAGGGGATTCTAACCTCGTATCTTGGCCTTCTGGGTTACGGTGGTCGTACTGTGACAGTCCTGCTCGTCAACGTGTAACATGGACTGCGCGTAGACATAGGAAAAACGGTCTGCTGAAAGAAAAAGATATCGACTGTCGGAGGGAAAGCTGTGTCTCTTTCTAATCAGTCGTAGTACCAAAGTACAGAGAACGTAGCCAATGGAAGGATTAGAAAAGGAGAGGGATTTGCCGCCACTTTATTTCCAAAGGATTTCAGGCAGGATCGCGTACTAAATGTCGATAGGTCCTGCGTAGTCAAAACACTCCTAACCTCTAACGCTTCTACAGGAATATTCGTAAGTACGTCGTACAGCGTATACAATGTGGTATATATCGGTACAATAATAGGACGACTAAACGTGACAGCGTCATACCACTCTCCGTCGGTAACAACGAGTGGCTTTTCGCTTTACGAGAAAAGCCGAGCGTAGGTAACGACAAATGGTAGAAATAACGTTGCGCTCTCGTTCTCTTTATGGAGCTTCGGCAAATCGTCGGTCGAAGCACGCTGTGCTATTAAGTTTTGCGACGACGAGTTCCGACATTAAAGTAAAGCCGCTAATACACTACGAAATCGTTCTCTGCGTTCCACCAGGTTGGCGGAAGTGATGTGGTGCACCTTGTAGTATAATCACCACCCCAATTCTCACCGTGGCTCTTGTGTCTGTATATATAGGTATACACGTATGAATTATACTTCGTGTACGAGTTCGTAATGCAGTAATAAACCTAGATGGTACCAACCACTTCATGGAATCATCAGGCCACTTCGTTCTATTATTGCGGGCTTTCCGCCGCGTTTCCCACCTTCTTAACGACTCGCGGGTACATTCGCATCTCGACGCAATCTACGTATAGATACTTACGCTGCTGGGCCTCAATTAATTCCATATTTAAATTAGGCTAAACATCGTTGCGCGTGGAAAGGCTCGCCCGTCCGTAGAAGATATGCTAAGTGGAGTGAATACGCGCGATCGGTATGGCGATAACTGACTTAAGTTTCGCGCACTAGAAATAAGTACATACCTTGGTCCCGCGACTTTTTGAGGGACTTATTCTTCTTCGTACCCACGTGCATTTATTTAGATCGTGTAAACGAACTTTTTTTTTCAGGTAATTCCTAGCAGCCGAGATACATTACATGAGAAGTGCATAAAATTGCATTGATCGAACTTAAACATATTGAAAAAAAAATAAAACAGAATTGACAATTTCCAAGAAATACAAAAAGTTTTACATATACACCGGGTATACAAGGCCCTGAGTACCGGTGAGGAAACGGTCAAGCACCCGAGCGCCAAGACATAATAAGTTGTGGATCCGAAAATGTGCTCGTAGTGCATCGACATCCTCCACAAGCTACAACCAGAGGCGAACCGGGAACGGGCCCCGGGTTCAACCGAAGTTAGCATCTGCTCTTTGGGCCTCATAATATGCGCAGTTGATATCACGAGCGGGATCTAAGATGTGTCTCCCCGATATCACGCACTCGTACACGCGTGGCTGTCTTAACCTAGACGCGCACACGCGCAGTGCGGCTACCGAGTTTAAGGCACACCGGTCCCCTCAGTCCCGACGATGACGTCTTGCGCGAGTCCCTCGAAATCACCGGAAATTCAATGTTTTCGCGAGGAGTTGCAAAAGAGTAGAAAATAAAAAGGCCCAAGAATCATTTGCCATCCGTGAGGACGCGCCCGCGTATTTTAATTAATAACGTACGTAAGTCCCGGCGGTCGGTTAGCCTTCGTAAGTTTGAGTGGCCAGCTTTTTTTTTTTATAGTCTGGGTCCTTTCATTACGGTATTTTTATTTCCTTCTTTCCCATCCACGACCGGACTTCCGGCCCATCCCCGTGCGATAATATAATCGCTGTAAAGTCACAAGACTAACGTCACCCTACACCTTGCTCCCAAAGTGCCACTTAATGTATTGTGATTAGCCGTTAACGAAAAAGGACATTATAATGAAAACCATAGAAGCCTACTACGAAACTAAGTAGATCTCAAGGCTGAGAAATGTATGTATATATAAATCGTTTTAAGCCGTACAAAGAGACGTTTCAGCAAGCATGCAGGAGTGAACTGCAATCCACGATAGGAGTGGACGCGGAGTATCCCCTGTTATTAGGGACAATTTCCAATTGGCCGCAGGCTCCCATTGCGGGTGAGTTCGCGCTCGGCCAGACAACGCTTAAGACATGCAGGAAGCATATAATGTTATGTGGCACCCGGGGGGCGGCGGGGGGTGGTGGTGCATAGGAACTCCTCCGTTGCTCGACATAGCTCTTGGAGCCACATAGCGGGCATATTTTATGATAAGCAGCTTCGCATTTTTCTTTTTTTCCAGGACCCCATAGAGAGCCCCGGGCACACTCCGCGCAATGGTCCATCGTTCCTCTTGTGTTCTTGGAGATACGGTGTATATATGTACAGAGAGAGAGAGAGGAGGATGAACGATCAAGATGATCCTCGAATAAAAGGCCACGAGCAAGGGAGCTGGAGGATGAGAAAATAATCATTGTGATTATCTTATATTAGGTATTGACTACGGATTTGCATAATATTACCAACCTACAGCGCGGGACGGTTTATCCTGATAATTTTCATTCGCTTTTATTTCGTCTTTAGGCCTCCGGTAATTCGTTGCACGTTGTAAACCTAGAGCTGCCGCTCCCGTCGCTGCCGTTCCTGCATTCACCCCTTTGGCATTCCAGGACCGTACCATTCCTTATGCAACGTACGTCTCGCAGTATCAATTTCAATGGTACGTCGCAGGGTGCTGTAAAAAAAAAAAAAAAAAAAAAAAAAAAAAAAAA